TACTAAGTCATGTTTTGCGAAGGGGTCAAATACTTATTTCACTCATTAAACTGCAAATCAACTTATAACTTTTTTGAAATGTGTTTTTCTGGATTTTTTTGTTGTTATTCTGTCTCTCACTGTTAAACCTACCATTACAATTATAGACTGATCATTTCTTTGTCAGTGGGCAAACGTACAAAATCAGGGGATCAAATAATTTTTTCCCTCACTGTATGTTATAGAGGTAATAGCAGTGAATTACTGGGAATAAAAGAGAATACAGTGGTACCTTGGGTTACGAACGCCTCTGTTAACGAACTTTTCAGGTTACGACTAGCTCCGGCCGCAAAAATTTACCTCGGTTTGTGAACTCCACCTCGGGGTACGAACAGGATACGCAGCCATTTTCCCTCCCGTGACACAGTCTGCGGCCATTTTTCCGCCCCTGACACGTGGTCGTAGGGAGGGGGACTCTCCCTCCAAGCAATAGCCGCCTCCCTGTCCTCCACGCCAGAACGGATTAATGGTAATTACATTGAACCTTATGGGGAAATTTCCTTCGGGTTGCGACCAATTCGGGGTGCGACCAGAGTCACAGAACAAATTAAGTTCGTAAACCAAGGTTCCACTGTATATGTAGCTTATGGTTGAACTGTGGAATCCTTGGTGTATTTTCCGCCCCTGACACGTGGTCGTAGGGAGGGGGACTCTCCCTCCAAGCAATAGCCGCCTCCCTGTCCTCCACGCCAGAACGGATTAATGGTAATTACATTGAACCTTATGGGGAAATTTCCTTCGGGTTGCGACCAATTCGGGGTGCGACCAGAGTCACAGAACAAATTAAGTTCGTAAACCAAGGTTCCACTGTATATGTAGCTTATGGTTGAACTGTGGAATCCTTGGTGTTCTCTGAGCTTGGTTGCTTGCTTGCAGACGTTTCATGACCCAAGTAGTAACATCATCAGTGCTAGTGAGTGTGGGGTTTGCTCCCTATTTATATACAGTAGCTTGCCCTGCCAGTGTTGGTGGAGGTGTGGTTTTCTCCTTGGTAGTTTCTTGATTAGAGTATTGTTCTCTGCTTAATTGTTTGTCTGGTGTTAATCCCTGCTTATCTGGGTGTTGGTTCTCTCTTCCATAAGCTAGAATTGCCACAGAAAGCTTTATGTTTTTTTCTAACCCAGGCATTGGCAACCAGGTGCCCTTCAGATATTCTGAATTATGTCGCCCATAAATGTCAGCTAGCAATGGAATTATTGAGAGGGGATGAAATATTTTACTGTTGAAATTCATAAATTGGCCACCGGATTTTGGCAGCATTCGCTTAAAGATTCAGGGGGCTACTGAAAAAGGGCTGGACACTACGGTTAGGCCTTGAGCTGCCCATCCTTGGTTAATGTTATGCAGCCTCAAAAGAGAGAGATAAGGGACAGGAAGGTAACAGGGCATGTAGCTTTTCTAACTTAGCTTGCAAGATGGGCATTTTTATTTTTCCCAACTCAGCACAATGTTGGTATCCAAATTTCGTGTTGGGAGAGAAGCTGGAAAAAGAAAGAATTTCCCTACCTTGTTCATTGTTTGCTGTACTATTTTCTTTCAGTGTTTCTCTTCCCCCATTCTGCTCTTTGATAAGCATTTCTACTTTCCTAGATTGCATGTATCGTCGTCCTTATCTGCTATGGGGCATCCAGGGTACCTGGCTACTCAGGTTTGGCAGTCTTCATGATGATTTACTGCATCGTCCTGTTTATCATCTTCATGTGTTCATTACACCTCCAGATAACTTTCATCCACTGGGGATGGACGGTAAGGTTTTGGTTCTGCAATAAGCCCTGGGGTGGGGCAAGGGATTTCTATGTCTCTCTCTAAATATTATTTATTTATTTAACAATATGTCTAGCCCCCATCCCCTGATCCATACAGACTCTGTGTGACGTTATTAAAGTAATAACACTCAACTATGATGGTCTCCCAAACAAAGCTATGGGAACAGTACCTCTTTAAAAAGCAAGGAGGATTGGTACTATCTGTCCTTCTGGGGTAAGATGGTCTATAATGGAAGGCTACCATCAGGAAGGTCCATGTCCCATGGACCTTGAGGGCAGGGACCTTCTATAGACCCTCCCTGGATATCTTAACTGGGTGGACAGATTATATTTTGAAAGACATTATCTGATGTAACCCACTGCTGAGAATGTGTGAATGCTAGTAAAAATGTCCACATTTGAAGCAAATAATATTCTGGTATTTGTGTAAAAGGGTCAAAGTGAAGCATTTTGCATTAATTTGTTTGTTATTGCCTGTTTTGCATAATAATTCTATCTATACCTTTCAAGGGGAGATATAACCTTGCTGCTAAATCATTAATCCTTCTTCAAGGGGCAGACTTCCAGAGTCTGGTATTCCAACTCCCAGAATTCCCAGCTAGCATGACAGAGCCTTGTTCTACTTCAGAAGTGCACAACCTGACATCCCATTGTAGAACTGGCCCCATCCACTACTTTTGCTTTATGTTTACATTTGGTACAATTAAATATGATAATTGCAGTTCACCTCCAGCCAGGCATGTAATACTTATCCCCACCTTCACCTTAAAAATTACCATTTATCAAACATTTTGGAAGTTCCTGGGAGTGCTTCCAAGGCTTTGGGGTGCCATGTGTGGCCCTAGAATTTCAGGCTTTGCACTTCTGAGCTGGAACAAGAATCTTAAAAAGGCACTTATATTGAAGTTTTGGTATTGTACAGATCCAGATTAGTATAAGACTACAATCTTACATTTGCCTCCCTGAACTGAGGGGGATGTTCTACTAGTAGTTTTTTTTAAAAAATCGTGTAGTTCATGTTTTTTAAACAATGAAACATGAAAAAAGGAAAAGGAAAGGCACACAGGTTAAAAAAAATAAAATAAAAATAAGCACAAAGAAGGGAGTTTACTTGTCACTGGTGGCTTCTGCTCATCCCACCAGATCTGGCATGGTAGACGTGCTCTGGATCCCTGTGATGAAGCAGCGCAGATCCAGGATCCGTGGCTTCTCTGTCATAGTAGTGGCCTTATGGTGCAGCCTCCCCACTGAGAGTCTAATGGCCCCCACCTTGTTGGCCTTCCAGAAGGCCTTGAAGACCTGGTTTCCCCCCAGATGTTGGGGCCAGGATATTAGTGAAGCTGACATTGTTTATTTGTTTAATTCTGCTAGGGGGCCCGACTGGTTTTTGAAAATTGTTTTTTGGCTTTAGTTGTGTTTTTACCTTTTTCTTCTCTGCCCAGAGTTACGTTAGTTAAGATGGGCAGCCATGAAGTTTTGTTTAATATAAATAAATAGAAATAGGTTAACATTTTAAATATTTCTTTAATTAATCTAAGTAGCTGAATATACTATATCATTTTAAAAACTACCAATCACTATTAGTATCCAAATAATATTTGAGTATCAACAGCAATAATCAACACAGTATAAATCATAAAATAAGATTAAGAATTACAGCAGTTTCTACCTGAGTAATGAAAGACTTTATGTTAAGAGGAACCCACGTTTCAGATGGGGTACAAGTCTGCATATAGAGTTATCATCCAAAAATAGTTTCCAAAGGGGAATTTAATTCTGAGAAGGCACATAATGTGGTTGGGTTCTGGCTGGATCAGTTTAAAGCTTAATTCAGGCCCCTTCAAAGTTAACCTTTTTCTTGCTTCTCCAAAGAATTTTATCCGGGCTGTTATCGGAGCCGTGGCCTTCATCGTCACAGCCATCATTGTCCTTGTTGGCCGCACAGATGGAGCAGCCATAGCTGCTGGGGTAAATATCAAGGGAGATTGAACGGGGGGTGGGGGGGTGGAGAAAGAAAGCTGGAATGCTGACTTGGCAGGAATTTTGAGCATTCAAGAACATGCATCAAACAAGGCGAGGCCTGTTCATTCTGGGATCGCTTTAGCTGGAGAATGCTATAGTAGCAAGGGTAGGAAGCCTGTATCTCTTCCCAAAACTGTACTTCCCAGAACCATCTGCCATTGGCCATGCTGGCTGAGACTGCTGAGAATTACAGTTCAACGTTTTATGGGGGACATAGGTTCCTCACTGCTTCTTTTAAAAAGAGGCCAATTAAAAAAGAAAAGAATTGGCCAAGACACAAGGGTTGGTTTATATCTTGCACTAAGTCAAGACCAAACAACCATGCTGTAGCAATGAACACAATGGTTTATGCCAGTGTTACAAGTGAACCAGACTATTATAGCTTCTATAGCAAACCATGTGTAAAAGCAGGCTTCTAAAGCTTCAACACATTGTGTAAATCCTGTCATGGTAGAAGACCTTCTAGTGGCAAAATTAAAAGAGTAGCTGCTTTAAGTTTAAAAAAAAAAAAGTGGGACAACTCAAAGCATAGAAATAAAATGAGGTTATATTACAAAATGTAGCTGCCACAATAATACCTTCTATCCACAAGGTGTTTCTGGCCCAAGTTTTTATCATGTGTTTGCCTGCTTCACTCACAGTTTTATAGGAGGTCCAGATAACATCATTTGTTACATATAACTCTCAATTATTTTCTCACTGCTTAATCTGTCTTTTGCTGACCAGAAAAAGAAATTCAAATCCATCAAGGGGGGAAAAGATGGAAGAGCTCCAAATCTGTTTAACTAGTAGCACTAGGAGTTGTCCATCTAGAAGAACTCTCAGCCCACTATTGAAAAAAATCCACCTCTCCTAAGTTCCCAAACTAAACTTGCATTGCCTTTCAACAGGTGCTTGAAATTCTGACCGGAATCCTCTTTGGCTATGATGCATACACCATCTTGCCTAGTCTCAGGAAAGCCCATACAGCAGCTCCCTCCGGTAGGTCTTCTGGGTTGAAGGCAGTTGGGAAGGTGATCTTTTCTAGGTGGCTCCTAGATGCCTTTTCTCTTTTGCATGAATCAGATCCTCAGAACTTTGCTTTTGGGAAATGGCGATGGTATTCTTATTTCCCTTGTGGATTTCTGTATCCAGAACTAGGCATACCAGTTGTTGCTAAATCCAGTAGGGAAAATGGGGTCCTCCCACAGGAATTCTTTTCTCTGGAATTGCCTTTCTTAGACTCAGCTATAGAGTATCTCCATGATTTATGATGACTATTGTATTCCAGTGTGCTTTGAATGATATGGGCAATGGGGGCGAACGGGGAGTTCTGATGGAAGTCCAGTGGCTTTAAGAAATATGGAATAGTAATTCCTGGACATGACCTCCACCCACTCTTTGAGCAGGAACCGTGAGCCTAAGGGGACCCACAGGTTATAAACTTGTTCTGCATGGGGTAGCGCAGCCCCATACAGAGCTAAAGACAGACTCCTGCTGAAATCCACTGCTTCTGAATCAACAGCCACTCTATTTTGCTAGGGTCAAGTCTAAGTCCGCTTCTCCCCTCCTGGCAGCAGGAGAGAATCCCAAATGTATCTCCTGTTTAGCCCAGGGAGGATGTACACATGTGGGTATCATTAATATATTGAGGATCCCTCCACTCATGCAGTGGGTGGCGTTCCCCAGCAGTTGTTGAATAGTATAGGGGAGAGGGTTAAGCCCTGCAGCACACCACAAAAGAGAGCCCACAGGTGTGACCTCTCCCCCTACACCACCAACAGGAATCACCCACTCAGGAAGAAGGAAAACCGGGTATAGGCAATCCAGAAAGATACCATAATTGATGGTATCGAAGGCAGCTGAGAGCCAGGAAAGTTGGCTTTCCCACTATCCCAGTCCTACAACAAGTCATCGGCCAATGCCCATATCCTATACCTCAATCAAAATCCAAAATGAAAAGAGTCCAGAGAATACACTTCATTTTGCACTACCAGAATTACAGTTTTATTTTTAGTGCTAGTGCATTTTAATGTATTGTTAATATATATTCATTAAAATAACTATTCCCTGACAGCCAAATGCAATTCCATTTATAGCTCAACAGCAGAAGAATATGAATGGGTGCAATCATTTCTTAAAATCATTTATAATTCCTTGATTTTTCTGTTTATTTTTCTGTTTTATTTTTTTTGTAAGCCACCTAGAATCTAGGACTGAGTCAGCGTACAAATGGTAGGAAATAAATATATACATACACAACTGTGATTTATTAGCATCACAGTAGCCTTTCCATTTTTGTCTCCCTTGCTTTTTTAATGAGGTAATATAATTGCATTGCCATCTCTTTTTAATTTGTAGAACTACAAAACAAAAACAAAACACGTGGACACAAATAAAACAGAACATTTAAAAATTCAGATAAAACAAACTAACCAACAGCAACGAAGACAAAAAGCTAAATCAAAATGAAATCAAATACAACAATCACATACAGTACTAGGTACATCAGTGGAAAATTTACTACAGCTTAGTTTTTAAACAGTGAACGGAACCTTGACTGCACAGAATCCCATTGTCCAGACTTTCTTTTATGTCAGAGAGAGCACCCATTCAAAGGCTGAGATGTGCCATTTCATGAAGCCAGCCTTTGGAATCTGGTACACAAATGTCTTCCCAGGAACACATAATAATCTTCATGGCCTCATCTACTGGGCCTTGCAGTGGAGCATATTATTTATATTGTATTCATTTGTAAACTTTATATCCCATATTTTCACTGTTTTCCTGACAATTGCAAAGCAGGGAGCTTCTTATTTATTCCTAGGGATGGGATGGTGATCAATAGTGATCAATAGCTTCTAGCTAGATCAGAATTGGAATTGTTGGGCTGCTACTCCCATCTTTCCTAGCCAGAACAAGCAGGTTACGAGAATAACTTTGCTTAATATCTGCCTGTCCTTCATCTGCTTCTTACAGAGCCTAGAGAAGGGATTTGAAGACACTGTCCCTCTTTCACCTCAAGACAAACCACCGCACTGGACGCATTCCCTATTGCCTTCTACAGGATCTGTCCCCAAGAGACCACCTCCCTCTATCAATTTGGCAACATCATAGCCTCTTTTCCTTGGGTGCCCAGTAGGACTGATGATCCTCTGAGTTAGCAGGTCCTTTCCCCTTATCTCCACTTGTGGTCCTCCTCTTTCTGAAACTATTCCAGCTGTGGAAAAGAAGGGCAGTTCTGGAATTCTTCAGAGAAATAGCAGAGCCCCAGTTAAGTTGGATTTCACAGGTGTGTGACTATGGATTACCTTGCATCAGATTCGGGAATAATTCCATTTACTCTCTGGTTGAGATGGAAAGAAAATAGGGCCTTTACATTTTATTCCTATTTGCAGAAAACAACACTGGAGTAGAAGGGGGCCCATTGGGTCTTCTCTTCTGGGGGTCTGTTTGCCTTGTTTTAAAGAGGAAAGTAGACCAGAATCTGAGTGCTTGCATCCAGATTTTCTAGATAATAGGTCACTGTTTTGAAATCTAGTAAATAGGACTTTAAAGAAAGTTTGTAACTTTTGAAGAGTCCGAGTTCCACCCCATGAAAGGATGTTTGAAATTTCATTAAGCTATCTTAAATGCCCATTTATGATAAAGGCAATTTAATATTTTTTTAAAATAAAGCAAAAGGCTTCCTATGTTGGTAACTTTTCCTATGCCATTTATTTCTTCCCCTAACTTTATCCCTCTTAGGGAACTTCATGTTTTAAAAAAGGCATTAGGTTATGGAGCAGGGTTGTGTGTGTGCAGTCATTGTGAGCAAGCAGGAAAGGTGTGAGTTTGAGTGGTCAACAGCTATTGAAACCTTCCGAGTAAGGAAAAGTTTTCTCAATTAGATTTCCAGGCTCAGAGGTAAGATTCTAGTGCCATGCAGAGTTCGTTACCCTGCCCTATTTTGCAGGTTATTTTTTTTTAATAAAAATAGTAAATATATCAAACTTTTATATAAAATATGCAAATTCATATACTTGATAAAGGACATTTTCCCCCCGCCCCCAAAAGAAGAGAACTTGGGTTACCTTGGTGCTGATTTCTGGGTATTTTTTAATTATTATTTTGGTGTAGTGCAGAATGCACACAGCCTTGGCTTGGGGCTCAGTGATATATTAGGAGACACGCAACGGGCCTGATTTTCTTCTCGGGAATGAGGGGGCTATCCCATTGCCTTAAGCTTAGAACGCTTTTCTCATCTGCACGGTGGGGGAGGCAGAAGAGAAAGGAGAATGTCTACTGCCATCTCTCATCCAATTCTCTCCTTCTGTTGGCCCTCAGGCAGCTTGACTCTATTTTGTGCTTGCTGGAGAAATAAAATAGTTTTAAATGCAAATAAACTATATCTGAATTGGTATTGCGTTTGCTTACTTGATGTCCATCTTCACAATTTTTTTGTGCAATCTGGGCTGTAGAGAATTGTTGGTATAATTAAAGGGATCTGTGAAACTTCTCCATCTTGGAAAAGGACCCTGGCTTCATAATAGCCCATCTGTATAAGGCCTAAATTATGGCACTGTGTGTTGTGCTGGCTTTCTTTCCTGTTACATTTAAATATAAGTGTTTCACCTGTCAGTGTATACAGAGCAAGTGTTGCCTCCACAAAATCACCAATAGATCAGGATTAGGCCTTCAGTCAGTAACTAGATAGTACAGACATACCATCAGAGGGAAGTTTCTCTGCGTCTTTAGTGCTGTAGTCGCTGTATTTCTGTTTCTGGAGATCCTACAAATCACAACTTTCATTTATTTAAAAATAAAGTTTCCATGTCTTGCAGCTGCCCTGATGAATTGAAATCTACCTGCTGCCCAGTTTTCCCAAAACCAGTTGCTGTCTTTCACCAAGGGTGGATTTAGCAGTCTTAGAAGAAGAGTCAGGTCCAAAATGTTTACTTCTGAATAACAAACTATAGTTTTTTTAGGGAGAGGGCATGTCCTACATACTTATATTTATTTAAGCCATCTTCCAATGATGGGTTAGATCAGTGTTTCTCAACCTTGGCAACTTCAAGATATGTGGACTTCAACTCCCAGAATTCCTCAGCCAGCAAGGTTGAAAAACAGCGGGTTAGATGCTAGTAAGCAGAGTTGTTTGTTTTTTCCTAAGCTACAATGAAATAATGGATCCTGCTCCAATTTGTCCAAGATGGGACACGAAGATCAACATAATACTATTATGTTTATTCTTATATCAGAGTGGGCAATCTTTGGTCCGCAAATTCCCTTTTGGCAAACCTCCCCGAGCGGAAAACGGGTTTATTTTTCTCCTGTGTTGACACCAGAAACAAATGAAACCTACAGTGTAAGCCCTAAATTAGGTGTACCAAATAATAATAATAATAAAAAATCTTAAGCCATTTTTAAAAAATATTTCAAATGCAGTCTTGGTCGCCAAAAGGTTGCCAGCCCTATCATGTAGGCCAGGGATAATCAACTGAGTACCCTACTGATTTCCAGATGACAAGTTCCATAATCCTTGTTCACTGATCATGTTGGCAGAAGTTGATTTATATTAACCCAAAACATTTGGATGGCACCAAGGTGTTCACTCCCAATAGAGGCTACTGTAATGAGAGAATCATTCCCTTTGTCCAGCGCACTGCAACACCCGCATGACTTTATTCCTTGCGTATCTTTTCTACTTTGCGTATTAAGATTCAACACACTAATGATCCACCGCAGCACCAAAAACGAAGTGTTTTCATGAAGTTTATTTCAATTTCATTTAAATTAAAATTCTTAATTAGAAAAAAACCAAAAATTTTTAAAACTGCAAACTTGAGAAATGCACACAGTGCAGAGGGACTAGACTGGGGAAAAATGAATCACAGGTCCAGTTTGATTAGGAAGATATATTGTGGGGTTTACCCCATAAAAGACACCTCGTGCCCATGTTCCACTTTTAGCGTGGAAAGCTGGGGAACAGAGTTCAGCCTCACTCAATGTATGCACACAATCACACACACATCACCACCAAACACCTTGCTACTAAAGGAACAGTATCCCAAAGCTTGAAACTGCTACCTTGCTAGAGACTTACATTAGTAATAGTAAAACTCAAAGGATCGAGGGTCAAAAGGATCACCCAGGAATGGTGCAAATATTCAAAGGTCACAGTAAAAAGGTCAAAACAGAAGTGCAAGGGGTCCCAGGTAAGTAGCTGCTGCTCAAAGCTCACGGGGCACAGTGCAGAGGTTTACAGGACTACCACTTGAACTTTTCAAGAGGACAGAGTTAAAGCTGTGTTCAGGAGGTCACAGTCGAGAGGTCAAAAGGCCACCATGGAAAATAAACTACCACAGTTCAAAGACCACCACAGAGAGACAGTTCCAGATTCTTCACACAAGGGTCAGGTCTAAAGATCAGAGGCCAGAGGGGAAACAAACAGCGCTCAAATCTCCCTGAGGAAAGGTTTCAACAGAATCAGCGGTCACGATGAAGAGGTCACTTTCTGAGGAAAATCCCTGGCAAAGAGGCACGGGTCAAGGAGGAAGGAACAACGGCCAGTGGCTCCAGAGGCCCCCAGACAGAATGATCAACATTTCACGGTTCAGACAAGCCCTGAAGCCTGACCGTGGCTGGGCTGCAATAGCAAAAGCCGGGACCACTCAGGCCACCACACAGTTCTTGTCCCGGACCACCCGCAGTCTTCGGCGCTGCTGTTTGCGAGTCGGTTCGGTGGGCGGCATGACCTCCGGGGAGCTGGCTCCGCCACGCAAATGAGGCGGCAAGGGTATAGGCTCACCTAGAAAGTAGCCTTCTTCCTCCGAGGATGAATCGGAGGAGTCAGAAGAGCTGAAGTCCCATCCCCGGGGCGGGTAGCGCCGGTGCCAGGCAGGAAAAGCACTCTCCGAAGCGGAATAGGAGAGGTTGGCTCCCCTCCTTTCCCCCCCACCCTTCCTGGGCCTCCAGCCCTGGCTCCCCAGGTTGAGCGAGTTGTCTGAAGTGGAGCGAGAGTGTCCTCGGATGGCTCCCCCCTTCTGCAGCAGCGGGGTCTCCATGGAGGTTTGCTCGGGACAAGGGGTGCTGGGCTCTCCTGAGACTAAGGGTTCCCGGAAGCTAACCCGAGGAACTCCTCCACGGGCAAAAGTGCCCATCCCATGCTCCATGCCCTCGCTGAGCCGTGGCCGGGCAGAGGCTTGAATTTTGGAAGTGGAACTGCTGCTCCAGTCGGAGATTTTGGAGGAGGGTGTCCCCAGCTCTGGCATGGAATGGCGCAAGGGAGACGTGCGCTGGAAACGTGGCTGGAGCTCGGTCCCTGAGAAGAAACAAAACAATTAGAGCAGGGGGCCTAAGTCTCAAACCTAGAAGCCTTCCCCAAGTAGCCCTGCACATCTGCAGCCTTCTTGTCCCGTTTGGCTCTACCTCACCTGTTCCTGGTTCCTGGTCTGTGGCTGGGGGCAGGCAAGTAGATGTTCCCCGGGAGGCCCGTTCCACGGGCTCCTCACAACTCTGGCTGTAGCCAGAACCATTGCTGTCTGGATCGGAGAGCTCTTCCATTTCTGTGGGCACCTCCTCCTCCTCTTCCTCATCCCCAGGCACCCCGCTCCAGCTCCTTCGGATCCTTGGGGTAGAGTCTGATGGTGCTGGCTGCCCCCCAAAGGAAACAGAGCGGGTGATGGAGGAAGGTGTCGAGCCCTGGGACTGAACTCGGCGCTGCTGCCAGCTGGTCCTCCGAGCATCCTGAGGACGGGTGCTTTGCAAGGCAGAGTCACAGGAATCTGAGCCGTTGGGGTCTTCACCTAGGCTGCAGGCCCGGGAACAGAAGATCTGCCCCTGCTTGGGCAGGAAAGGCTTCCCCAGCAGGGGCTGCTGGCAACGGGAGCAGCAGAAACAGGCATCGGTGGCATGCCAGTGCTGGCCTTCGTAGGTCATCTGACCCTGGTCAATCCCTGCAGGGAAGGGACAAGGCCAAACCATTGGATGGAGTCAAACACTTTGTTTCAAAACCCACAAAGGCTGGAAGGTCATCTGCTCTAATCCCCTTGCCAATGAAGGTGATCTATTCCATAGTGTTCTGGGGCCCGTCCTCCTGTTTCTAGATGTTTGCAAAGAGGCTGAAGAAGCTGCTCTTTTTAAATGGTAAAAAGCATTGTGTTCAAAAGTCTTATCTTGCCTCACTTAAAGCACCACCAAAGCCAACACTGAGATCTTACGTTCATTTAGGAAACAGAAAGCAGATATCTTTGCATCCTTGCTAGAAAACCAAGGATGGAAGAACACCTCCCCTTCGTGTCCTTCTACTCAGATCCAGTGCTGTCTGTTATTCTTGCAAACAAAAATAAAATAAATCCTAAATCATCTATCTGAAAATTGAGTAACTAATGCCCAATTAAAATGTCTGGCCCATGTCAATTTTATATGTGTTCATATTATACCACATGCCTGACTGTATTTTTGGACTGCAGTAAGCAAGACTTGCAGAAAATTCTGTACATTGTGGACTCTCCAGTTACTATAAACAAGCAATAAACATCTGAACTTTACACATCATGCTACAACGTGGGTTGATTAACCATGATTTGTTAAATAAGCCATTATTTGGTTTCACATACTGCACTAACCATGATGCGTGGCATATAAACTAGAATGGCTGGTTTGAGTTCATAAAACACATTATACTACAATGAGATATGTCATATTATGCCTTGGTGAGATAGGGGATTCTGGGGGTAGCCAGTGGTTTCACTTTTGGTACTAATCATGTGTGTATCGTCACAACTTCATCACTGCTGCAGGACTGGGAATTTCTAGTCCAACTGCATCTTTGAAGAAGACGTGGCATATAAACTAGAATGGCTGGGTTGAGGTCATAAAACACATTATACTACAATGAGATATGTCATATTATGCCTTGGTGAGATAGGGGATTCTGGGGGTAGCCAGTGGTTTCACTTTTGGTACTAATCATGTGTGTATCGTCACAACTTCATCACTGCTGCAGGACTGGGAATTTCTAGTCCAACTGCATCTTTGAAGAAGAAAATGTGGGCTTTCAGAAGACTCCAGGAGCCTTGTCTTGCCTATAATCCAGTATTTCTTAAACTTTTTTCTCTCAGGACCCCTTCCCACTTTTAAAAATTATGGAGGATCCCAAAAGAGCTTTTGTTTGTATGATAACTCATTGATATTTACCATATGATAACTTTATCGATATTTACCATATTAAAAATTAAAATGGATGCATTCACTGCTGCTACTGCTTCTCATGATTGTTTTATGGGATTTTAATATTGTATTATTTTTCAACATAGGCTGGCAAATAATTTTGATTTCCCAAACCCTTGGGAGGGTCTTGGGTGACCACACTTTAAGAAATGCTGCTATAATCCAATCCTTTCATTCTCCAGGCACTGA